AAACACACATGACCCAAACAAAACTCCCCCCCCCCCCCCAAAAAAAAAACCCCAAACAAACCACCCCGGAACTTAGCAGTACTTAGAAATTCTTGTGAATGTTTTACAGAAGTGTAGATATAAATCATTGTTAGGGGGAAGTGGGATATAGAAAAGAAAGGGTGGTAAAGATGTTAACTGACTGTGTAATAGATATTGCTCTGTGGAGCCTGAATGACGATGGGGGGGGCGGGACGTAAGATTAGCTGATGCCAAAGCCAAAATAAAACAAACACACACACCCCCCCACATCCCCCTCAAAAAAAAAAAAGCTAATGGAATGGTAAGAGATTTTACAAAAGCATCATGTAACATAAAGGTGTGATAGGAAGGCAAGAATGAAACTGGAAATGGTACTCCAGGAAACCGAAAGAGTCCAAGAAACAAGGTGTAAGAAATAGTGCTTACTGAGCATACAAAACATGGGGACTGGGTTGCAAAGCAGGAAAGGTCTGCTGAAAGCATACATTATACCAAATTGGATGTACAGTTTCCATATGGAAAACTGTTAAGAAGCAAAAGATGTATTTGGCATGGACAGGTTGCAGGAGAGAAAATAACAGTTTACATACATTATGTGAACACACACTAAGAAAACAGAATGCTAAGTAGCAGTAGTTAATAAGTAAATCAATATCAGCATTAATAAATTAATATTACTATATTGAACTTCCTTCACATGTACAAAGTTGTGACATTTAAAGTTCCAAAGTCTTTTGCCGTAATGCAGATGATGACTACCACAAGGAGCCATTTCCATTTTCAGATACTGGATCAATCTCAGAAATAAGAATTTTCAATGTACTATCTCAACTCTAAAAGTGCAGCAGGTATAGTAAACTTACGTTTTTGAAGAGCTGTTCTGCAAGTTCTCTAACATGCTTTATCATTTTTGGTGGATTACCTTCCTCAGCTTTAATTCTTTCAACTTCAAAGGCTACCAACTTTAAAAAAAAAAAATAAATCCACAAAGTTAGTTTATAATTCAACTAAAGCCAATTTCTTTCCTATTTATGTTATGAAATTTTAATCTTAAATTGAAACTGAGCAAAGAAAACTGAACACTGAAAAATGTGCAATGCCACATTGCTCTGGAACATGAGACATTTTCACTTTCTTATAGAGCTTCTGTTACCAGATTTTATAGTCCTACCTAACACAGAAAGTCCTACATAACTAAAGCATTCCTTTAACACTTCTAATACCACAATCTGTATTTCTCATATATACTACTACTATGCAGAATTAATACCAAAGTCTATTTGTACTCTACATTCAAATAAAAGCCAGCACAATAAAAATATGGCATTACTTTTTAAAAGAAAAAATGTTTGTTGGGAATATATTTAGTATTTCTTAACTACTTTTTCAATGTTTCTAAGAATGTAATTAAATTACTCAAAATAATTCTGTACTAGCCACATATGACACATTATGAAGTTCCAAACCTGACAACAGGAACAGCATTACCATGATTTATACAACTCTTTAACTGCATACATATAAGCAAGGCACAATTTTATGTAAGTAAGCTAGAAATGTATCCTTAGTAGAAAATGAGAATTGAGAAGTTTAGTATAAACAGTGAGGATTCAGAAGCATTTCAATAGTTCTTCACATTTTAATTTACTTGGGAATATAGAAACAGTCTTCACCTCATCAAAAAGATCACAGGCTCTGAAAGGAGGACCCCTCTCTGACACAAAACCAGCAAATGCCATTCCATTGAGAACTTTGGTTAGAAAGTCATTCTCAATTAACCCTCGCTGCCCCAAGAAGGCTGCCTGCAATAAAGACAGAAAAAAATGCACGAATTTTATCAGTATCAAAACTACAACCAATTCATGTATTAGCGGTTAAACATTTTCAACAGCTTATACTAATATGCGGTACTTTCTAAGTAAACCTTTTATATTATCTACTATCTTTTTAAGTCTAAATTCAGAAGTGATGTAACAGGAAGTCTGATGCACATATTTTATAAATTTCACAGGCAATAAAATAAAAAACTAGTACTTTCAAGCATTGTCTTCTAATTACATACATAAGTTTTCAAACTTATTACTCAAATGATTACTCAAATGTTTCTTTGTATTAAATTTTAATGTTAACTTTGTTTCACATTTCACCATTGTGTCTGCAATTAGTCTCACTAAAATGCATTGACACAGTGCTACATCAAAATGATATGCTTATCACATGTAGGTGATTTTATTTTTTTAAACTTTAACACTTGTTCAAATGGCAAGCTCATGGGAATAACATGCACAAACGAATACTAACTAAATATACATAACTGCTTCTCTTTTACCTTATGGAAATGAATTACTGGTTCAGCATGAATTCTGATCAGCTGAAGACATGACCGGTATCCTTGGAAAAGTTGTGCAAATAGCCTAAGGAAGATTGCTCGCACTTCTTTATCCTGTAGGCAGTAATTGAATATGCTGTCAAAACATTTTTGTCTTCTGAACTTTTCTACACTTTGTATAAAGCTTTCTGAGAAATGCCTACAAATTCATCAAACAATACCGCAGCGTAGCATGGAAGCAGAGATACCTGTACACACATAAAGTTACCTTATATGAAACTACAGTTTTACTGACCTGTCCCCAGCTGTAATGATAAATTTAGTACATATTCACCCATTTTCTCCTCTTTTCTATGCCTGCACGACAGCCTCTGGGCAATGCAAGTGTAACTGTTGGGGTGGTCATGTGGTGAACCACATGAAGGAACTGCCATGAGAGAACAACAATGCTAAATAATGCAAAGGGAGTATTTTAGCCTGGATTTATTCCCTAAAATAAGCGTGGCCCTGCAGCACTACAGAAGCAGTGCCACAGGAGGGGGCAGGGGTGTCAGGGAAGCTCAGGAGCCTAAGGTGGCATTGCTGCTGCTGGGGGAACCAGGCTGAGCGCGTCACAGGCATCACCGCAATCATCTGCTGCGGCCCTGCCAGCTGAGGAGACTGCTCTCAGTACGTTCAGCTACTTGTCCAGGACTCCAACTCAGGTCGTCTTCGCTTGCCAATCTATTACAGCCAAAATAAGCCAAGGTTAGTCTAAAAAGTTTTAAACAGTACATCTTTAAAGTCCTGATTTATTTTGGTTTAAATGAGTAAGGGAGTGCTTCCATAAACATTGAGGGGTTAATGGAAATTATGTGAACAGCTGGGGGCAGACTTGGGGCAGTGACATCTTCAGCTGGCCCAGATGCAACTGAAGACTGTGATGAAATCCTGTCACCCAGGTTATTTTATCTTAGCTCAGGTACTTACTCAGACTGCACCCGTGTCTTAGGACCTCAGGTTTTATGGTGTCTCAAAGGACTTTTTAAACTAACTCTAACTTTAAAAGTTACAAGCAGCAAAGAATATTAGATTAACTAATCAGGTAAACAGCTGATCAACAGGTAAACACAATCTAAAGAAGTTAAAACTTGAAATTTATAAGATTCTATAAAACTGTCCTATTGGAATATTTTTCTAGATGTCATTTTATTCTTCACTGAAATGATTGATGTTATTCTATTTTTAACTTAATTTTGCAAGGGCTCACTTTACTGAGAGATACTCTCATTTTCTTTGTGTCCAGGCTGCTCTCTAGATTTTAACAGGTATATTTGTACCCTGACTTTTTGGACTACTCGAAAGCATGGTTGCTTTTTTTCAGATTTAACAAAATTCTTATTTTGATACGAAACTATATTAATTTATAACTTCACTATTGAAAGTGAGATCTTAGCCGAATTCTGTCTTTAGTTTAAGTGAAATCTAGATGACATTTCCTGTCTTCAGCAATGAAAAAACAAAATCTTAAAGCAAGAAATAAGAACAACAAATATGTCGTACCAGTTCTGAGTTTTAAGTTTTCAAATACACCTACACAACAAACCCAATGTGTGTTCTTAAATTGAATTGGCTTTTGGCATTTAGTTTGGACTGCCAACTCAAGTTCAATTCTACACACTCCTACAAGCTAAAACCAGCAGCTTTACCAAGTCGTTATCATGGCTTCACAACTAATTTTAATCTAGATAATCAAATTTTAGCAGAAAACTTTCTACAAACTTTTTTTAGTATAGACAATTACATACCATTTTGTTCAGGTTGAGGCTCATTAAAGCCATTTAACCATGTATGGTTAAAAAACATATAACTCCTTTCCCAATATGTCCAAGCATACAGTGTATTATAATTATCATTATTATTGTAAAACCAGTGACGTGTTTTACTGACACAGCTACCACTCCTACCTTTACTCATATTTACTCTAAAAATCTAGATCTCAAACATTTTCAATGTTTCTGAATCTTCTTTTTTTTTTTTTTTTTTTTTTGGGGGGGGGGTGTCTTTATAAGATAATTTTAACATTTACACAAACACACAAAATGACCAGTTTGTCCACTCATGTCAAATTCTGCAATTTTACTGCTCTACAAAACAGAGAAGGCACAGATTTAACTCAATAGACAGCAATATTAAAAGACAGTACGGTGCTTCTGTATTAATACAAATATGTTTATAAAAACTTCTAACCCATCAGAATGCTATTAGAGGGCAGAATGCAAAGTCCAATGGCATCTCTTTGCTCCACCAATTCTAAATAAAGAATATGGGTATGGAAAAGAAAACACAAAGTAGAAATTCTTAAAAGAAAGTTAGTCTAAAATTTCAACAGTTTTCTACTTAAGAAAGTCAGATACAACACAGAAATCTTACCAGCATTTTTGAGTGTGATAAAGCTGTTCGTGGGGGAGGGAATGCATAATCTGCCATTTCCAAATCAGGATGCAAAACCTAGAGAATTTTTTAAACAAAATTTTTTTCCCTCATTTTGCTAAGGAAAGGATACATTATTTTTTTTCTTTTTTCTCAAATTATATATTCACTGATAATAAGTACCTCAAATAATAGATTAAGTTAAATCATGAAGACTGTATGGAAATAAAGGTGGGATTGATTTCTCAGCTTCAGGTTTCTGTGAGCTAGTTATCAAAAACTCCTATTAGAGTTAATGAAGCTAGTCAATACAGTTAGGGATTTTAGAGCTGACTCATCTGATACAGATTAACAGACAGAAAATTCTTCTCTAAGATAAGATTTTTTCAGAAGCCTCCAAATAAGGTGTTTTCTAAGTTGTGACAATAATAGTAAAAAGACAAATTGAACTACTTTTTTTTGTGATTCCTTAATGTAGAATCAATCATTCTTGAATATTGATATAGAGGCATCATACAAATAAACTTTAAGACTAATTGGTTATTCATTTGTTAAACTCCAAGACAATGTACAGTTGAAATGAATTTGTAAAAACAGAAAAGAAGCTAAACTGAATAGTAACAATGCTGCTCAAATACTGAGGTTGAACTCATTGAAAAATCATTATTAGGGAAGAAAAATCACTACCTACCTCTTGAATAGTGAAAAAACATTTCAGTAGTAAATTACTGACGATATTAACTCTAACTTCAGATAATAAATTGTTCTAAAAACAGGAATGTTGACACGAATCATAGTTTTAAATCCCACATTTCCAGTGTTTGAAAGCAATTTAATAGTGAAATTAATTTTTCATTCTTTAAAAATAGGTGAGAGGGTGTAAAGCGGGGTTTGGATCAAAACATACTAAAGAAAGCGCCATTTGAGTCTGATGCAGCAGTGGCTCTGGCAGCTGAGAAAGATGAATACATTCAGGAATTTTAATTGTGCCTCCATCCAGGTCTGCTATGATTACATCTAACTGCAAGGGACAAACAAACACATTATCAGTAGTGCATACTGTAAGCATAGTTTAAAAACAGTTCAAATTTCATCATCTGCACATAAGTTAAGCAAATTAAAATAGTACAAACTTTAATGTCTAGAATGCTTTTGATAAAGGAAATACTCCAGATACTTTATATTGCTGAACCTAGCCATGAAAAATTAATGTAAACCAAAGAAAGTGAAATTAGGCCAAACTTTCAAAAGTAACTTATGTTTCTGGATGTTCCAGATCTGTGTTCAGTGATTTGACATATTTAATAGGCTGTTTGCAAAACAGGGTGGGGACAACCATAAGTAAAATTACATGTTTCTAGGCACCTCTCTAACTCTGGCTCAGTTTCTCCAAGCATGTGCTTAAAAAGTAAGGATTAAAATAAAATAATTGAGGATACATTTGAAAATCCTAAGTGAATTATTCAAACTCATGAAAATACAGGACAAAGCTAGAAACCAATCTATTTCTTCCCATCCTGCACTAAAATCAAATAATTTCCCTCCTCAGTAGTCTCAATGTATTTACAAAAGAACTGATGCTTTTCCTTTTTTCTCCTCCTGCTTATCTTGCCTTGCTTTCTACAATAGTATTTTAAACGTATATGAATTGTTCACATAAACATCTCTGAAGCAGAGAAAATCTCAGCAACTAAACATCACAAATGACATCATGACTATGAATATGATGGGTAGACATACTTACAAGCTCATGAATGTCATTGCGAAAGACAGAATGTACGCCAATTATGAAAGGTGTTGGTGAGCTGAGAACTTCCAATAGCTGTGCAGGAAGAATTGGAATATAGGGATAACTGTGAAAAGAATAAATAAAATCAAATCAAAGCTTCTGACTACCCTTTCACATAGGGCAGCTTTTTCCTTTAAAATAAAAAAATAATCTTCCTGTTACATATTAAATTTACTATAAATACCTGTATTTTAAAAATACATTAGATGAAAGAATTTATTAAATACTTCTTTATAAAGCACCATGCTGTTAAAAGAACATCTATCATGTAAACTCCAGAAGTCATTATAATATAGGATCTACCATTTATTGTAAACAAGTATATTTTGCAAAATAATAGAAGCCTATTAATATTTGTAACATTTATGTTATATGGACATTACGTTTGTCCGCAACCTTTAGGTAAGTAGGGACACTAAAGTTATGGACAACACTTTAATTTTAAAAACTTGGCTAGTTTTTGGCCCAACTCCTACAATTCAGCCTTTCATGAAATATCATTAATAAGAAACCTTTAAATGGAAGTTTTTGCTTTGATATTGAAATGACAACTAAGCCTTGCGTATAGAACTCTGCATTTCAGATATTATTGACTTGATTTGATAATTTTTGAAAATATTAGTGTTTTCATCAGAGTAACATGAAACTCTGGATTTAAACTGAACCATGCATTTCAACACTTAATTTATAGTTATTAAAAGTCTACATTCATCACTATTTTAGCATTAAGAAACATATTCCAAAACTCACTTTCACATTTTTTTCCCCTTCTTATTCTGTATAAAAATGAAGCTCATCTCTGAAATATTTTAAATAAAACCATGCTATTAAAATACAAGTATCTTTAAAAACAGATGTGTCAGAATTAGATGTCGTCTTCCTAAAAAAACCCAAACAGCTTGACATTCAGTTTTCCATTTTAAAATCTGGATTCGGATGTGGCTTTTTAGAGAGGATCAATTTGTTGATTTAAATTCATTCTCTGTTGGACATTTGTCAGTGACTTAAACCTGTCATACAAGCTAATGCACATGTTATCTTAGAACCATGGAATCTTTCGGATTGTAAAGGGCCTCAGGAGATCATTTAGTCCAACCTTCTGCTCAAAGCAGGGTCAAGACTGAATCCAGATCAAGTTATCCTGGGTTCTTCTGTCCAGCTGGGTCCTGAAAACCTACAGGCATGGAAGTTCCATAGGCTCCCTGTTCCACTGCTTAGCTATCCTCATAAAAAAACATGTTTTCCCTGCATAGTCAGAAACCTCCCTCTCCTGTTTCAGTTTATGACCCAAGTCTCTCATTCTCTCATCATGCACCTCTTCTTACTTAATGGCAGGCTGTTATTAGATCTCCTCCATATCTTTTCCGTGCATTTACTCATGGATCATCACTGTCAAGTTTTACCATCCAATTGATGTTGTGATTAGAGTTTCTACTGTATTTATAGGTAGGATGTTTTTCCTTTAATTGCTTCTGCTGTCATGATGCAATCAGATTTTTATTAATGATGTGTACAGATTAGGACTTACATATATGATCATGAAAACCTTTGCTTATTTGAAAAAAAAACGTGGCACAACTCCTTTTGTTAATGACAATGTAATGTAAGTTATACAAAGAGTTACAAAATTAGGCAAAGAGTTCAAAGAATCAAAACTCAACTCACCTATATTTGAGGGGAAACATCAAAGACTCCAGAGCCCTACAGGCATCACTGAGCCTCTGAAAACTTGCAGAATGAAAGAGAACCTTATTTTCTGTAAGCACGGCACAGAATAAGCTGAGTACATTTTGGATGCCTTAAAAAATAAAAACAAAAATAAAGAACTGCAACAATGTGCCAAAAGAATCAAAATTACATTAAAACGTACCATTTTCTGGAGGAATTTTCAAAACGCATACGATAAATGCGTAAATTGCCAAATCCCAAGTTTTTCTACCGTTTATTTAACTAGTGCAGCTTACATTCTGTTTTTCAGGTTACTAAAATACTATCTGAATGTATTTCTACATTTCAAATATATTGTATTATATCTTTCTTTCAATACCACTTCCAAGGATTTCCTCTTCTCAGCACAAATCCCAGCAATGACTCCAAACAGCATTACGTGTATCTTTTGCATGGCCTACTGTGTATCTAGAATTCAGTTCTGGTCACTGATCCAGGCTTAACTTCTAAATCTTTATGTATCTCCGGGGGTGTGTGTGTGTGTGTGTGTGTGTGCGCGCGCGTGTGTAGAAAATTACAAAGACTTCCTAGTAAATACATTCCTACTTTTTCCATGGAGAGCATTCTAGAAGTCACAAGGTTAAAAAAGGGCAGTAAGAGCGCACATGTCATTAGAAGGCTATGTTAAAGAAGAGCTGTCTGTTTAAACAAACCCCACCAGAACTAGGTAGGGTCAGACTCATGAATCAGATAAGGGGGGGTTTTTTTAAGACAATATAATTTACCTAGGAGACCAAGCCATGTCCTTTCAGGGAAAACCAAAAATATATTTCCTTTAAAACAAAGTCCCATCCTGAAAAGCAAACATGTCTGAGATACGTGAGATATGCTGAAATTTATGAAATTTCCTGAAATATGCCGGAATGTATGATGTTTCCCTGAGGACATAGCTCATGTTATCACTAAGACAGCCTGTATTACCTTTACAAAGCTACTACTTATCTTACAATAATCTTCCCAATAACAAGTGTGACTACTGAGAGCTACACTCTTCATATGAAAATTAGCACTTTGTTTTGCTTAAGTAATCTTTATTACATGCTTTGACAAATCTGTTTTTTCTATGATGTTGTATGAGAATTTGCTTCGCTGGAGTGGAGCTTGGTTCATAAATAGAAAGGGACAAGGATTCGGAGAGGGTTGTTGAGAAGACGACTTAATTCTTAGGATGAAAAGTCAAACAATAACATAATAGCTTGTGCTTTCAAACGCCATTCTCCAAGAATCCTAAGGACATACTCATGAAATCAAAGGCAGAGACTTGAGAGGACTCAGGGACAGAAGGCTTTGTTATAACACTGAGTGAGTTACTGTTGCAAATATTTGCTATTGTTTTCAGTGGCATAATTAATATTGTGCCAGTATATAACAAACTGCTTTGTAATATACAATGTAAGGATAGTGGTTAAAAAAAATTAATAATAAAAAATCTAACTAGTTTCCTCACGTGAATGAAACTGCACTCATCAGTGAATGGTTAGAGGCTAACTTGAAATAGCGTCCTCTCTTGTGTATGTACATACAAGGGAATGTATATATTTGAACACAAAGTTAGAAACTGCTGCCCACTTAAAAAAATCTCTGTAAGAAATTAAAAACTTGAATTGCCCTTTTTATGCAAAACTGCCCTTGTTCCTTTCTCAGAAGACTTTAAAGATTGTTTTGGAGTATACTTTTTGTTTTAAACTAAGTTTTTGTTTTCAAGCCAAGTGGGCTTTTTACATCATTTCATTCCACACCAAATATCTTATTAAGACACTTAGGAATATATTTTTTTAAACATCTGACATTTTCCTATAATCAGACACAAAACTTCTCAGACAATCCTTTATAAACCTATAATGTTCTGGCAAATATTCACATTTGGTAAAACTAAATTCTCTAAAAAACCCCCAAAAACCCTCTTGCAATCAAAATGTCTGTAACTAAAAATTCTTGAAAGAGATGGTTTTGCATTCTACACATCTTAAAACTGCAACCTAGGCTGAGAGGTAACAGTTCTAAAATATTTTCTGGATATTATTGACTTTAAACTGTGTTTTACAAAGAACTGACACATTCCTTTACTGAAAGTATTCAATTGAAATAAAGCTGTGTAAGAATATAGCCCTTTTTCTAGCTATATGATATTCTCTTGCTGCAGATTACGATGATTCATGACTCCAGAAGGAATACCTTAATTCTAATAACTTTAAAAGTCCTAAAACTTATTCAGTATCCAAATTTTTAACTTGAAATTTCTTCTGAATATAGACTTCCTCCTCAGATATCAAAACAATACACCATTCTCAGTAGTACATAATAACTGAGCACTTAAAAAATACAAAAATTTTACTAGAAAATACATGATTGAAGTAGAAATCAAGATTTTGCTTATGTATAAAGAGGACACCTGCAAGTACTTCATAGTATTTGAACACTGGCCTTCTAAAAAGATGTGCATAAACCACTCTCTCTAGTGTTGATACCTGTGTATGAAGCCAACACAAAATAGTTGGGTTACATTGGGGTTTTTTGTTCTATTAAAAAAAATGAGAACACATCGGCTGTAAAGGACAAAACCTCCTAGAGACTACTAAATATGATACACTATTGTATATCTAATATAGGTATTCTTCATACTCATATATAGCAGTATGTCTGTTAGATTTTTATCTTTACCACTCAGAAATGGATTTTGGTAGTGTCTTCAACAAACAGAAAATTTTGGATGTCTTGTCAGTGTAATTTTTTTCTTCTTGCTGATTTTTCCCGCTAGTTTCTTTTCAGAACCCAAATTCATGTACACTATTTTAGAAGGCAGGTCAAAACTCTGAACTTCAATTTTTCTACCTAATAGAGTATGTTCTCAGTAACCAGAAAATAAGGTCTTCTTTATTGAAAACAAAACCAAAACCACCAAAAAAAAAAACCCCAAACCCCCCACAGCAACAGGTTTGTCACCTGAACTCAACTACAGTAAGCCTGGAGTTCACAAGTTCTACCTTCCTCCCAAGGTTTTACTGGAGGACAAAAGGACTATACTCAAAATGCAATACTTAGTGGAATAAAAAGAAGGGAAAAAAAGAAATAAACCAATGCATTTTGCATTTTGTTGGGGGGTGGGGGTGTTTGTTATGTTTTGTTTTACACTATTAAGCAGTGATGATACAGTCTGTGAGGCTTTCATAGTTTCACTTGGGAAATTAGTCCAGTTTTGCTGTATAATAGTGGCTGCAGATAAAGCCTCAGTTTGCAGTCCACGAAGGCATTTCTCATTGTAGCTTAATCAGCACCAATATAATTTTATATTTAAGATTACTATTTTTTAGCAACTATCACTCATAAACTTGATGCCACACACAAGAACATTTACTGCAGACATGTTTTTATTACATTCTGCTAGTTATTCTCTCAGATGTTCACTACATTATAACTGGCCATGGAAGATGAATTTGAAATGTTTGCTGTGATGTGAATGCACCAGATGTAGCCCCAGCTTTGCTGAGTTAGACAAAAGCACTGCTTTGTTTACAGAATTTATGAAAGTGACCAAAATTGAGAGCATCTAAACACATCTCACTCATAAATGAGCAGGTCTTGTAAGGGATTGTGTGTGGAAAACAGTAAGGTGACTGGGAAATATCCAACAGGGACAAATGAAAGCCACCACCAAATCAAGGAGACAGGCTGGTAGGGGCAAGAAAAGCTCACTGGCCAGCTGCTCACATATCAAAAGCGGTAAGAGGCTTTGTCTCTCCAGTTCGGCAATCCCTGTCACGTGTCCAAGTTAGCAGGTCCTTGGAAAAAGCAGTGAAAAGCAGCTGTGAACTACGTACATTACTGCAATCTAGCATTGCCTAAAATCCCTGCACAAAGAAACACCTCAGCAGGGCAGCAGAGAACCAAGTGCAGGATATAGAGCTCCTGCACACCGTGTCTGCACATCTGGCGACCGACAGAACTTTAGAGATGCTCTGAACTTCAAGCCAAACCTGGAATTCTCAATTGATTAAATCTCCATCTGAAAGTTATTTCTAAATTCTCTCGGCCATTTTCTGTGTTCTGAATGCATAATAAGCAGAAAGACATCTCACCAAAACTGGCCACACTTCAGCAGAAACAGAAAAAAGAGACTAGAAATCTTGTGTGCTTGCATTTAATTTTTTTTTTTTTTCATTTCTGCAAGGTACCTACAATACAAATGACTGTACCGCAGTAAGAGTATACGACTTGTCCCATGTAATCAGAGCTCATATAAAAATACAGAAGTAACTTACAAGAAATAACAATACAGTACAAAAAATCTCACCCAAAATTAACCAAGGTCATTTCTTTAGTTAAAAGAAAGTTAAAAGCCAGTTAAAGTGAGAACTTCACTGACTTTTACTCTTTTCTTTCCTGAATGAAAGCTTCACAGTCTAAGAAATATTAATACCTAAGGAGAGGTTCTGAAGTTTTTGGTGGGGTGGGGTTTTTTTGTTTTGGGTTGGGACAGGGTGTTTGGGTTTTGGGGGTGGGGTTGCATAATAGAAGTGCTGTTCCATTAGGAAACTAATTGCCAATATCGACCAACTTCTTGAAAACAGACTACTCAATTTGAAACACACATGGACAGTGAAACCCAGGCTAACCACTTCCACTGACTGAAAAATTTGTACAGCCCAGATAGCTGCTTCAGTACCAGTTGTTTTCCTTCCCTCTCTTTTTTTTTTTCTCCCCATACTCTATATACAATATAGAAGACTATAAAAGAAATAAAATCAAGTGTACAGTACAGACATCTAATCTGTAATGTTCTTATTTTCAAGATGATAGCCACTAACTCAATACAAAATTATTGCTCCACACGTACTTTGAAATATGTTTTCAGGAATATGAGCAATATAATGACCGTGAAAGAAATTTTCATCTGACAGAATCAAAACAAATTATAAACAGTAAGACTTTTAATTACTTTCCTTTTTTAAATCATTTAAACCATGGATTAAATTATCTGACCCAGCCACCAAGGTGTTGTGTCAAGCCTTGCATGGTGTTTACTGAAAACAAACAGTTCCAAATAATAGCCTGAGCCCAGTTTCCTCATGC